ATGAACAAGCAGCTTGGAGAAGAATCCCAGGGCGTGGATGTTTCTGAGAATCCTCTTTGCTCTTCTTTCCTGGCAATATCATCAGCTCTCAAGCACCTCTGCTCTCTAATCTAATCAGTCCTTGGGAAACAGGATTTGCTGCAGTGTCTGACCACTTAGGTACCCACCAGCAGAGTAAATACCAGAGAGACTTTCTGAGAATGGCCAAAAGTTCTCTCAGCACCTTTTAGTGCAGTGACAGGGACTCCAGAACCTGGACCTCTCCCTGCTTTGTGCTGCTGCTCCAAATTCCACCATTGCTGGCTTTGAGCAAGACTCTGGCAGGTTGGTTTGCCAATGCAGAGGAGAATATGTATACAGGGAACTCCAGTATTGGGAAGGAATTCCTGTCCTCTCTGCTGAGGGCTGGTACAGCAGCTCCCTGCACAGCTCTGCCCTCTGCAAGGGACAGCCAGGCAGGGACAGGTGCTCTGGGGGGCTCGGGCCCCCTCTGTGGTGCTGCTGCCCCTGCTGAGGCTGTGGCCTGGTGATACCACATGGAGGGGTTGGTGGGGACCCGGCCGGGACAGCCAGAGCTGCAGGGGTTTCCCTGGAGATGCGTTAGGGCATTTATGGGTGTCTTCCAAGGTTTTTTCCTTTATGGTTCTTGATTAGGAGATAAAAGGCCCATTTCTTCTTTTAATGGAGTCTGTGATGTTAATGGCCTCCCTCCAGTCAGATTAAGGTGCTTTGGCCTGTTTTACTCTAATAGAGGATGATTGAGAAGCGTCTGGCTGGTTCACAGTTGGCTTCCTCACAGGTCTTGCTGTGCTGTTCCACTGCCACCCTGCAATAAGCAGCTTTCTGGAAATTATAAAAACCAGAGTCTGGAGGAGCTGACCCCTTCCCAGGGGCTGCCTCCTCCCAGCCTCTACTGTGTCGTGCTGTGGACACATCTTGGGACTGCTGGGAGTGGGGAAAGGCTGTGCTGGGGCTGTGCCCACCCTGCTGAGCTCCTGAAGCCCCTGATGCTGCGGCAACTGCCCTCCCTGGCGTGCTGGAGGAGCAGTCTTGCCTGTCCCTGCCTGTGCCTGCCACGCGCTGCCATCCAAGGACAAAGCAGAGTGCTGGAGACAGCAGGATTATCAGAGCTATTAGAGTGACTCTGTGTGCAAGAGGGTGTGAAATGCAGGTAGATTGAGGACTCTGGGGAGTGGAGAGGACAAATGGGGACGTGCCCCTGTCCCTGCTGAGGCCAGAGGGGAGTGAGGGCTGTGGGAGTGGCCGTGGGGGTCCTGGTGTCCCTGTGCCTCCCTCAGCCACGGGTGGCTCCGGATCAGCTCGGAGCAACTCCCCATGCTGCAGCCTGGCTGTACAAGGCACCAGTTCTGCATTTTAAGTGCTTGTTTCTTGATGTTGTCCTGCCTCTAAATGATCCTGGAAATGTATCATCTACTTAACTATATTTTAATTAAAAGTCAGGGATATTAGAAAAGAGAAATCAATTCTTGTCACAATTAAGACTTAGTTTGAACAATTGCAATGTGTTTCAGCAAAGGATCCTCTCTGGACTTATTGATCTGTATTGTCATAATGTCTGCTTTATTACCATGGCTCAGACCATCTTAAAATTAATATTTTGCCTGAATTATGCATGTCATCTGGCAGGCAGGGGAAGCTGCCTGCTGCCAATCAGAACCTGCAGGGCTTCAGGGCCCCTGCACCTGGTGGACCAGGGCTGGGGTGAGCAGCCTTGTCCCTTGTGCTGTCGGGCCCCTCTTGGGCGAGGTGCAACTCGGGAGGCTCAGGGTTTGCAGCCCCAGGAACCACCTCAAAGGCTGGAGCAGCCTTGGCCAGTGGCACCAGTGGCAACCGGAGCATTCCATGCCTGGTGTGATGCTGATGGGACCAGGACCTGGAGGGCAGGATGGAGCCTTCCTTGCAGGTGTCCTTGCAGGATGTGGGCAGATCTCCTGCGCTCTCCCCTGTGGAAGTGAAGGAAGAATAGGAGGCTGATTAATCAAAATCTAGCATGATGAAGGACCTTTTAAAAGGTAGAAGATGTCCCAGTTATGGCTTCTCTGCCCTTTAAAAGTTCTTGAAAACTAGGGGGTCTTGGAGGAGAGAAAATTGATTTCTCATGGTTTCTTTTGTACCTTGGGGCAGAAGTAAATTCAAAGGGGCCCTGACATGAAAGGTCAGAGTCTGTGTTGCTGCAGCTGATAATGAGATCTCACAGATAAATCAAAACACGTGGATTTCACCACTGGGGATCGGCTGGTTTAACCTGAGGTACTGGGATTAGGAAGAAGAGAGGGCACATGCTAAAATCTTGCCTGCATGGAAGCAGCCTGGGCAGCGGGAACATGCCCAGGACTGTATCCTGCTGCCTCACGGTGCCTGGCACAGCCCTTGCCTCCCCCAGTTGTGCCTCCACCAGCTCCTCTTCTGCTCTGTCCCTGCTCTGGGTTCTGGTCCACGGCAGCAGCTCCTGCAGCTGCTTTCTCTCCTGCTCCATGCGTCTCTGTCCTGTGCTAGCTCCCAAGGCTGCATCCCACTAGATACCATTTGCTTCGTGATAAATAGGATTCATGTAATAATTTCTGCCTATTATTAATGCCTTTAATCTGCAGATCTCAGGAGAACTCAGGCAAGAAGCAAGCCAGAGAAAACCAGGAGAGAGCAATGTGCTCTGAAAAAAAAAGGAAAGAAGGAAAGAAAAGTGAGTAGGATGAACTCTTTACCTCTCTATCCCATTAGCACATTCACCACAGATTGCAAAATCCTGTTACGAGCCAGGACTGGCCGGGCAGGGTGGAGCACAGGGGGCTGGGGGCTCTACAGGGTCCTGGGCTCACTCCACTCTCCAGCTGGGATGTCAGGGATGGCCCCAGCCCCACTGCCCCTGCCCCACCTGCCTCCCCCTCCCCAGGGCAGCCTCCAGCTTTGGTCTTTGCTGCTCTTGTTTGAGGGTTAAGTGACTCTTGGGCTCCACGTTCCTGTCGTTGGTGTGTGACTAATTGGAGAAGTGTCTAATCTTGTCCTCCACCGATGTTACCGTGACGCAGCCTGTGATTAAACATGCTGTCAGGCACTGCTGTTTACAGATAATAATGCTGCTTTCTCTCTGTTCCTACACTATCAGCCTCATTAGGAAGGTTTATGGATAAATTAGTCAGTCTGAGATTGAACAATGTCTCCAAATGCATCCACTGAGCACTGCACCCTCCAACCCCAACTGGGCAGATGTGACTGTGGGCACTGTGGGCAGAGACCTGGCCCTACACCAGGGTGACCCTGGCTATGGAGCTCAACTGCTGTCTCTTTGTTGGCTCTCTTCATGGAGACCCCTTCAGGGGTTCAGTCCCCCATGTTTGCTACTAGGCTGGAGACAGCAGTAAGTGTCTGGGTTGATAAAATTCTCTCTGATGCTTCATTACAGCGGAATCTGCAGTACACGCCAAAAGATGCTCTTTTTCCACTCTTGCTGAATGAAGCACTCATAGATTTCCAGAGAAAGCTCCTGGTACGGGTGGTGCATGGCCTTTCAGATACAGCGGGAACAAACTGCAGCTGCAGATGGGAACAGGTTGTTTCTGCCATTTGTTATTCTTTCCCCTAATTATAATGCAGATTGGACACTCTCTCCAGCATTTCCTCCCTTTCTGTTTATTTAAGCAGGATTTTTGTGAACCTACATGGCAATCTGGCCCTTGGAGGCGAATGCACCATTATAATGAACCAAATCCATCGCTTCCCCAGTTGCCCCAGCAGGGCTTTTCCCCCATTGCCCCTTCCTCTAGCAGCCAGCGCTGAGCCAGGGGGGGGAGCAGGGGGCCAGGAGGGACCCTCTCTCCATCATCAGATGGAGCTGGCAGAAAGCCCATGGCCAGCATCTCAAGGTCCCAGAGAGGGGCCACATCCAGCCTAGAGCAGGGGTTCCCATGCAGCTCGCTGCTGCCCACTGAGTGCTTGGTAATTACTGGAGAGCATTAATGGAGCTGGATACACCATGTAGGTGCCTTATTTAGAGTCTGCTCAAGTGCCGAGTCCTGGAGTGCAAAATTCATCTAGGAATTAGCCCCAGCTGGAGTAAATTGCTAATTATCATTTGCAAAGTCTATTACCCTTTTTTATCGTGGACAAATGAAAAAGACTCTGTGCAACCTCCCTGTCACCTCGCCCCGTGACCAAGGGATAATTGGCATGTGGCTTGTGGTGATTGAGTTATGAGAGAGTCCCCAACTGTCCTCCTTCATCAGTGTGTCATGCAACTTGCATCTCTGCCTAATGAGTAGGAGCCAGAGCAGTGTTCACTCCAAGGAAACCACTGCAGCTTTGCAGAAGGTTCACTGTCCTTCGTGCTCAGGGACCTCCACTGTACTGAGGGGACAATGAGGTTAAAAATCTTGGTAATTGATTTTAAATGGTGATTGAATGCAAAGACTTGAACATATAAAAGCTCTTAGCAGCTAGGGGAAACACTGTGTGACGGGGCAATCCCTGCCTCTGGGGCATAGGCACTTTGGGGTGCAGGTGCAGAGCTGTGGGTCCCCTGGGAGCAGCACTCACCAGCCTGCCACCCACTTTGTCTCCACATTTGGAAAGGTTTGGGTGGCTAATTTGTCTTGGGACCACTGAGGGAGGTCCGGGAGGAGCACGGGCTGTGGTGACAGCTCAGCTTGGGGCAGGTGCCATCCCTGTATCAGCTCTCTAGGAGTGCTGGCCATGCGCTGCGGGTCCCTTCGTGAAACACAAACAGCCTGCGGTGAAATTATTTCTGACGCCACTGAAAATGAAAATCCTAATGACAGCACTTCAAACAGAACTACTGCAAATCTCTGTAAGTGATTTTAATGAAACCAGCCAGGAGCACCAGGAGAGCAAATCAAAGCTAGGACAACTCCTTTGTTCAAATTACAGGTAATTGGTATCAAAATTATTATAATGGTTGTTTGCACCATTATACTTGAGGTATATCATCATTTCTAGCAGAGACCTCGGCTCTCCGAGACTCGGACATGCAAGCACTGTCTGCAATTCCTCCTTCCAGCCAGAGTAAGGGTAGGAGAAGCAGAGGGGCTGTGTGAGGGTGGAGCCCAGCTGGGCAAAGATCGGGGTGCTGGTGTCCTGCCCCATGTCTGGCTTCCCTGGGGGGCCTGGGATGCCTGCCTGGTGGGACCCCCACACAGCCTGGTCATTGCCATGGTCTCCATTGTGAGGGGCTGCTGGGCAGAGCAGCTCTGGGGGGCCCTGGGGTCTGGCTGGGGATGTGTCCCCCCAGTGCTGTGGGCGTGCAGGTCAGTGATTCTGATCCTGTCGCTCAGAAGTGACTGAACGGGTGGGACAGGACTCAGTCCCAAATTCAATATGTTTACTTTAAGTAATTGGCATTAATTACAGCTAAATTACAGCTGGATTCATCTGGAGCTCTAAGTTACTTTTCTAATGGCACCAAATGATTTCTGACTGATCAATGCCACCCAGGCAAGTGCTGGAGCCACGGGCAGCAAGCGGTGGTGGCCACAACCCGCGGGGGAAGTGCCGGTGACCCGGCTGCCCTGTGTGAGGCATTGGGGATGAATGGTGCTGGCCCCCTGCCCCTCTCCTGGCAACCACCAAACCCCACAGCCCCGTGCCACCCGGGCAGACCCACCTCTCACCTTTGCCCCCCGTGCCAGGCGTCACCCCCCACCCCACAGGTGCCAGGCAGGAGGAGGGGTCGCGGTGCCTGCGCTCAGCCCCAGCTCAGCCCCAGCTCCAGAGGTGCCTTGGCTTGTCCCGCAAATTCTGTCACCAAATTGTGGCACTTGAATCCCTCCTGTCTGGCTCTAATTAATAGCATGTGATGATTTGTCTCTGGTTGAGTTGGAATTTAAGGCTGAATGGATTCTTGTCCCTTGTGGAAGGCTGGGTTTCATATTGATGGTGACAGAATGGAATATTACTTATATAAGTGTAATGATCTTATGCTGCCCAGAGCTCTGGATTTTCTCAGTATATGACGAATGTGAGGCATTTAAACAAATTAGACACTTAGTATATTTTACATTCTTTTCTAGAACGTTTATCTCTGTGCACTGCTTAGAAATCCATTAGCATGAAATGTAAAGATGCTTAAAGGCATTTACCCAGATTAGCTGCCTTTATATAGTCAAGGATCTTTTATGTGATTACCTTAAAAGCTAAAGAGCTGCTGCAAAACATTTATAGTGCAGAGATCCTGAAGCAAAGAGTACACATCTGACAGAAAAACTAAGCCATTAAAAACAAATGCATTGCTCTGGTTGCTTTTATTTTCAGACAAACAACATAGATGGCAAAAGGAGTTAATACACAGTGTATTTCCTTTTGATATAGGTCTTGATCACAAAATTTATGGGGAAGCTTTACATTAACTTTTATTTTTGCTGTGATTTGTACGTGTTAGGAGGGAGGAGATGACGCATGGACAAGACAGCACTGCCAGCAGCAGGTGGGGAAGGTGGTGGCTGCTACAGAGCCTGATCCCCCTGGGAAGCAGTGTCTGATCCCCGGGATCAGCTGGAGGCAGCAGGTACCTGCTGTGAGTTGTTTGAGCTGCACTAACTGTCGCTTTCCTGTGCAGGATGTTTACTTAATGCCAGGTACATCTATGCTGTGCTGCTGGTGCCTGCTCTGACTCTGTTATTGTCACAGCAGAAGGAGCAAAACTCATCCCAGAGCATGGGCTGACATGCCCAAAATAGCACAAAATTGAACAAATTCCTTGTTTTCCGTTGTAAGCAAATCCTTTCAAGTGTGGAAGAGGAAGGAAAGGTGCAAAAAGCTTCCATGAGGTTTCTGCCTGCTCCTTTCTTCAAGGGCAGCTCTTACAGGCACATCCCAGGGCCCACATCCTCCTGGCTCCTTTGTCCTTTAGCATAAAAAGTCATTTGTCAGCAAAAGAAAGAAAGTTTTGGTTTTCAGTCCAGATCTGGCTGTCCTCCCACTGAGACTTTCAACTCTTTATCTCAGGAATTGATGGTCTCGGATTCTGATCCTCTTTTCTTGGTGTTTGTATTGATTTTTGTTTTTTCCAAGAGGGTTATTTTCACTGTGGTTTCAAAACTATCTTTCTGTCTCCACTTACAGCAGGTAATAGCTCAGCTTGGAGAATTACACCTTTTCTGTGCTGTGCTGGCCCCAGCTCTTTGCAGAAGTTCCTCTGGAGCCCAGGGTGCCTTCGTGGGCTCATCCCGTGCTTGCACTCAGCAGCGGGGTGGGGAAAGCAGCCCAAGGGCTGGATGTGAGTGGAGGTGACTAGACACCCAGTATTCCTCTCCCTCTATTTATGGAAACTGGCTCCTTGTTGGGTGCTGGTGCTGGAGGAGATGGGTGCTCTGCCGTTGTGGGGACAGTGTCCCTCAGTCCTGCTAAAGGAAAATTTGTGAGGTCATTTTCCCAAAAGCCATGATACTTTAAAATTGTGATAGCAATACCTCTGGCTGCTCTAATATTAAGCTAAGTGCTTGGAATAATATTTCAGGCAAATGGAAAAGTTTTTTACGCAATTCGTGTGACATACTCTTCTTCTAGTAAAAGATGCATCAAATCCTCTATATCCACTGGAAATCCTCTTCCCTGTGTGGTTCTGCAGTGACATGAAGGCGGCATCTCCGTGGGCTCCTCGGTGCTGAAGGGAGCGGTCCCAGGGCTCTGCATCGATTTGCTTCACCACATTAATACCTTCCAACATGCCAGCAGCAAGACCCTGTGCATGAATGCTAAACAGGAGGGCATGTGCCCCAGGGGCTGGTAAGCAAGATCCCATATATTGCACCATGAGAGTTGTGTGTCATATTAGAGCAATTTAGTTTTAAAGGGCATCTTTCAAGCACAAACTAGCTTTTTCCCACACTTGACTGATCACACAAATAACTGTGATTAAAGGTCAAGTGCCTGGGTTTTTCTATTTTACTCCTTAAAAATTTATATGTGAAAGAAAACCTAGAAGTTAAGATAGCATGAAATTGTTATGCAGTTATGAGCCATTAACGACAACTAAATATCACTTTTCTTCCTGGGTGGCTGGAAAAATCTCCAGTAATAATGGGTCACTTCTGGTTTGCACTTGAGAAAGATTATAAATAAAATGTCTTTTGCTTTCCTGCCCTGTAATGTGATAGAGGGAGAATTTTAATCCTTTGAAGGTGTGACCAGACTGCCCAGGCTGGCCCTGGGCTGGCTGGAGCTCCGGGGGGGCTGGGAGCAGGGCTGTGCTGCCCCTGTGCTTCCCTACGGACAGAGCATTGACACATGGACGGGGATTTTCCTGCTGGTCGAGTTAACAGCTTTAGTGCTGAGCTGGGATGGGGGGGTCCATGCTTTGGGGTGGGGAGGGAAGGGCTGGAAGGCACAGAGAGCAAGTGGAAATATTAGATCTATATATTGTCAAATCCAATTGTGAATCTCATTGTGCTTGAACAATTCTTCCTCCATTTCCGCTTGGAAACACAAGATTTCTGTGGAACAGGTTAAGGAAGCATTGTGCTTGGGGTTTTGAGCTGGTCCCTGGGTTGCTCAGGATTCCTGGTCCTGCAGGGACTCTTGCATAGGTGAGTTCACATGGGCAGTGTCAGTGACTTCAGGAAGAGAGTACTTAGAAGATGGGGCACAAAGCAAATGAACTGCAATCACCGTATCTAATTAATCTCATTAGGCAGTGTGCAAATTTAAGTCTAATTGGCAGCTCCCATGCCTGACACTTTCAGGTGTTTGTGCAGACATGGCCCCTGCTCTCCCCCTGCAGTGCTGGGCCCCCCAGCCCTGGCACAGGCTGTTCCTGCTGCCCTGGCTGCACCTGCTGCCAGCACGACCCTGCTCTGTGTCCAGACACAGCCCTCAGCTCTGGGAGCTCCTCACATCTGGGGGTGGCCTGAGGGGTCCTGGCAGTGCCAGGAGGGCTGGGGGTGCCCCTCCATGAGGCTGTGGGCCTGGCCCCAAACACCTGCTGCTGTGCCCAGGGGCTGTGTGCAGCTGCCATTGCCCAGACAGGCTGCCTTAGAAGGAGATTCAGTATTTTTATTCCAGATATTTTTTTTTTACATTTGACAGCACAAAATCACAGTGAAGGGAACTTCCCACAGGAACAAGTGTTCCTAACCAAGTGAGATTTGGCATCACTGTCTCAGCTATCAGGTGGGAAACTGGCAGGCATTTGGCCTGACTAAATTTTGCAGGGACCTGCAACACCTACAATTAGTGACAATCAAACCTTGTCATGTTCCTCCCCCAGTGCTGGAGGCCGTGGGCCTGGTGGCACATACCTCGCCTGCAGCAAGCTGGGAATTGCCTCCCCCAGCTGAGCCAACCCCCTCCCAGCCCTGCTGTTCCGGGCCTGCTGCCCCAGCCCTGCCCTTCTCCCGGGGCTGCCACAGCCCCCCTGCTTGGGGTGGCCTTG